CATCAACATAGATGGAACTCATTCATGTAAAAGTCTCAAGTTAACACTATGTCAAGAAGACTATCCGGCTCTATCTTACTTCTTATATAGACAAAATTAAACTAAAGAAAATTTGAAGGTATAGGTAGATATAGAATGATTTGGCAAATTATCGTTCATATTGATCCTTCTACTTTTGCTCGAGTGTGTGTGTGTTAACATCTATACGCAATACCAGGAATGAAAGTTACCCAAACAATGTTATCCCAGGAGATTCATCGAACCAAAGTTACTCTTCGTTTCTCAAATATAATACTCATCTTGCTTTCTCGCATTATTAGTCCCTCTACTAGTTAAGCCGAACTGAACCTAAGGTTCTACTCCAGTTTACTCCACACGAGCACATAAATTAATAAATCCTACTAAAGCAAATTTTCAATAAATTAGTAGGGCCCAACGTATTAAAACAGCAATTAACCAGTCTAAAGGTAGCCAAATTAATTTATTGCTCTATCAGCTACTGCAGCACTTAGGTAAATTCAAAGTACCTTGAAATCCCAACACTCTCGGCCCGGATTGTAGCCTACTAAGGCGGTTATGACCACTTGTCCCCAAGCTGACCACTAGCTGATAACCTTTTGGAGTTGTTCTCGTTATTAGGCCCAGCTCACTACAATCCTCCTTTCTTGTCCAAGCTTTCCTATGTATAACAGTGGAGTGAATTGCCGTTTTGAGAGCCGTCCTTGGTACACGTACGATATTAACAGAGGAAACAGAGGCTGAGAAAGCTGTAGGCATCCTTTTTAAACGAACCTAGCAAAGTGAATAAGCAGCTTAGGAGCACTTAAATAAGTGAAAATGAAGAATGCGTTACTCGAAGATTCTTGCTCACCCGGCCTTGATTGGCTTAAATTAGCAGGCATGGTCAGTCGCTTGGCTGCTTTTTCACCAAGCCAGACAAGTCCATCGAGGAGGGCAATGTGGCACGAAGGCGAAAGACGCTCAGAAATAAGCCAATTCTGTCTGACAGCAGTTCGGCGTGATGAAGGATGATTTTCACCCTCT